CGTAGAATTGTCTTTTGTCCTTCCTGGCACTCTTCTTCACTTCTTTGTCCAGTGCTGTGTAAGTTGAGCTCAGCGTTTCTTTCTCTTGTCCGTCTTTGCATTGAGTCATTTTCTCTTTCACCATTCTCCTCTCCTCTATTAGCTTCCAAGTGTCCGTTGAGAGCCATCCCTTGTCTTGTTTCTTCTTTCTTCCTAAAACCGTTGAACACATTTCATTGAAAATTACCTTCAGAGAGTTCCAATGGTCTTCCACGCATGATTCCTCAGTGGCATGATGATTACGTATTAATAATCAATAGATAACACTATAATAAATTTTCACTATAGTGAGTCGATTTTCTTTGCATTTAAATGGAGTGAAATTATGTGAACAAGTATTCTTGTCTTTTAAACCAGCATGGCACTACATTGGTGAGGTCTTTGGACGCGTATTACTGAAAACTAGGATGAAACAGCTGTCCAGTACTCCTTGGTTTTCAGTAATTCTCTAACCGTAATCAGCTTGTGGTCTGACCTGAAACTAACCAAACCTCTGCATACCAACACACTTGGAAATTAATCTAATTCTCATTAGTGGCTGACCATAGAATGGAGTTGCCTTGAGTTCACTCGAGAAATCTTGTTCAAAAGGGGTCCACCAATTTGTCTGTAAGGGCATATACTCGCCTATCACATTGGCTGGCAGTAGATAGAATTCATGAGACATTAGATTCTCTCCCCCAGTGGTTGAATAGTGAACAAGTTTGTCAAGTAACCTCAAGTTGCTGTGTTCAATCTCTTCTAAAATTCTGGGCACGTACTGATGAAAAGTCCCGAACTAAGACGAAACTGCTCTCTAGTGATTCTCTAACTGCTATTGTAATGGTAGAAGACAAAACACTTCATATGAAATTGAGTATCTCTATATAGCGAAATTATGTACACCTTACCTTCAAATCACCATTTGCACAGATCTCCGTGTTGTGCTACTTCTCACCTTCTTTCATATCGTCTTTCTTTGTGTTCCTTTCACGTCTCCCATGTATCTGCACAACTCTGTGTCATTTGCTTTCTCTAAAATCAAATCTATCTCCCTGCTGTTTGATGTTTATAAGCCGATGAGCATCTCTTTATATGTATACTACTGATAAATCTTATCAGTAGCACACGCCACACTATCAGCTGGTGATCAAACTTGTCACTTTACACTGTTTGACTCACATAGGCTATTTCACTGCTAATTGTGATACCTAACGGCGAACTCTTTATTTCACGCAATAGAGTAATGAATAAGAGTAAAACGGTTACAACTCTATGCCATTAAGTAGCGTATTAAATTCATTAGAAGATAAATGGGATGTTTTCTTCAATGTTATTTTTTAAATTTCAGTAAAAAACAAAATTTTGAATGTTAAAATTGCTCAGCTGACTGTGAGTACAGTTTCATTTTCAGAATATGTGTCATATGCAGAATATCAAATTTCCGCTTACACACAATACACAAACTTCTACATAAAATGTTAATATATTTTGGAATTTCGAATGACAAATTATTCGAATATGTGTAAATGTTGAATGACCATTTTGACTGAATTGTTTGTTCACCATTAACGCATTAATTTTCATTCATTTTTTTTAATAATGACTGGGGCTTAAGAAAGATACTCCATATAGTGATATTCTTTTTCCCTATTGGTCTTGTTATTTCCTTTTTCATATTTGTCGTCTAATTATCTTAAGCTACTGAAATTCCACTACTTTATCACGAGAACGTTATTTGCTAATTTATTTTTGGCTTATTATACATAAAAAGCTCAAAACCTGAAAACCTCAGTGATGTGGATTCTAATCTTGGAGAAAACATTACCTCCTTCGTTGAAGATATACCTTTCTGACGAAAGCCGGCGAGAACAAAACTAGGTTAAAGGCTTCTTACTTACTGCCTAATATTATTTCAAAGTTCACAATGATGCAAAGTTGCCTAGCTTGATGACTATATTGCAAACTAAACCGGTAGAATTTGATGATATTAGATGATTGGAGGCAATCGGCAGGAAGCCTTAGACCTAGGTTTCGTGCTAGTTGGCACTCATCAGCAAGGCGTATCTGCAACCTTGAAGGAACTCATGTCCCTTCTGAGATTCGAACCCGTGTCACCCAGTGCTGCAGTCAGAGACGTTACCACTGAGCTATTCGGGCTCGCGATTGACCTCCTGTAGGACTATATTGGATATTTTTGATTGAACACTAGTCAGTAACTAGTGTAATGTGTCTAGTCTTTTCTTTGGTGCAGACTGAATTCTATCAGTCAGGTTTGCAATGTGGCCACCATTCTAGGTAGCTTGCCGAAACGGTGAATATTGATTTGATGATATTAGATGGCTGCTGACATGTGCCAACTAGCACGAAACCTAGGTCCAAGGCTTCCTGCCGATTGCCTCCAACCATCTAACACTTGAACATCTAATATCATCAAATCAATGTGCACCCTGATGGCGAGCTACCTAGAATGGTGGCCACATTGCAAACCTGACTGACAGAATTCATTCTGCACCGAAGTAAGGACTAGACACATCGCGCTAGTTACTGGTGTCCAATCAAAGTAAACCGGTAGAATTCCAACAGCATCAATACTACAGACTGAACACATGACTTTGATTGCACCTTAATCTTACGATATTTTTTCACATTCCTCCAGTCACCTACTGACGACCACTCGCTCTCGGTCCACTGCGTTAGTATGTGTGGTTTCCTAGAGTATGGCCAATCCATCTCCATTTCCTTCTGCATATTTGTTTCACAATCGGTTCCTGCTGGGTTGGTTCGCTCATTGCCAGAGATCTCTGTTGCTGATCTTTTCTGGCCGGCCATCTGATCTTGAGTGGTATGAGCGAAGACAACTGTTAATGAAGATTTGTAGTTTGTTTGAGATGCTCTTTATGACGCACTGGTCAAGTCTGTGATCCGTATAGTAGCACTGACTTCACATTGGAGTTGAAAATCTGGATCTTATTTTTGATGCTGAGTGTTGTTGACCTCCACACAGACTTGAGAGTAGTGAAAGCTTGTCTTGCTTTTCCGATTCTTGCTTTGATATCCTCGTCAGTTCCGTCGGCCTGTAGTTGAAACGATGCTTCTTAGGTATAAGTTTGATTGTTGTCTGTTTGTTCTTTCAGATCTTCATACTCTGTTTTCTATGTTCACGTGATCAGTAAGTGACTTCTGAACACTGAAGACTTGTGACAAGTACTAAACACTCTGTGTCCTTACTATTTACTCTTTATTCAAATCTATGCTAAAGGCACTGTATAAAACCAACTCTGATCAAGTTATAATCTGTGATAAGTAGGCCTTTATGGTTCGTATAATGAATAGTGTTTTCCAAAAACAATCACTCTTTCCCCTGTTATGAATTCCTTTCATGTAACAGCATACATATGTGATTATCCCGTTGTAGATTTACTTGAGATATCCAAAAGAAGCTGGTTCAGACACTATCCTTACCTTGGCCATCACGGTTCTAATGATCCTCAGTTTGTTGTGCGAATTTCCTTAATTTTATTTGATATTCTATTTGCTATCATATTTTTATTATTATTATTATAATTAATGCATTTTAGTGAACTGTAATTCCATAGATCTTAGTTTACAAATCGATACTATTTAAAAAACACCAATATTGTTATTGACGACTATTCTAGAATATTCTTTGTATATAAACATATATATATATATATAATTGGAGAGCCAGAAGAGGAAACTATCGAAAAGGATATTTTTTGCTCAATTTCTTGTTTTTCCTAGATGTCTGAATGAATATTATCGCTATAAATACTTTTGTTAAACCGAAATACGCGTTATTAATATATCCCTACTAAGTAAATGGTATGAAAATAATTATATCGACGAAAAGTAGATATAAGCGATTACATCTCAGAATACATGTTGAAATTGGTTAGTCTACAGTGATGAATGCTTTAAACATTTGCATGATTAAAAGCTATTAGAAAAGGAACTAGCACCACATTTGTCGAAACATCCGTAAAGCTTGACATAGAGGAAATTAACAGATCATGCAAATAGGAGTAACAAAATTTGATTGCACAGGCATTTTGGATCTAATAAAAAACAGACTATTTGCTAGCTTTCATCTCCGTCTCATTTAGCTAAATGTGATGTTTATAGCTTCATGTAGTCCATGGTAGACGAAGATTGAAGTCTATTGTTTTTTGTACACACAGTTTAGGCTGTATGTGATTAATCCAAAGTGCTTCCATCACCTTCAATAACCTTGAATTAGAGTTATGTGAAATAATCGTGAAACAGTCATTAATATTGATTTTGTGACCTGACATTAATAAGTGTTTTGCAATGGATGATACTGAATTTCTATTCAGATTACTCGCATTGTGATTTTCTACATGATTTAGTGGCCATTTTGGAACATGTTCTTTTCGATGACATTGGAACATTCTATTGGTTCTACATATATAGGTGTCACCGCAGCTGCAGGTGAACTTGTAGATACAGTTTGAAGTAGAGTCGACAGAATTTCGTCCTTTAATCGTAGGTACAGGGATCGAAAATGTTCGGCAAATGAGAAAAAGAGATGCGGCGTAGAATATGCGTTTGATGGCTGACCGAAGTCTTTGAGCTGTCAACTGCATAATCTGGTCACCCTTAAATGGTAGGTTAATAAAGATAGCTTTCTTTGGTACAGAAGCTGTCTTTTCGAGATGTGGTTTTTCTTTACTGTGACAAGTGATAAAGTTCTCCGGATAACCATTAGCTAATAAAACTGAATGTATATGTCGAAACTCATCCATCACTGTGTCACTCGTGCATATTTTTCGGACCCTTGAGAACAAACATTTCACTAGGGAACGTTACCATCTCGCGAAATTTGTCTTCTTAATGCCTTATTCAAATTTATCAAAGGAACTAATTGTTTTAATACAGATTTTAAACATATTTTGATTAAAAATAATAATAATTTCAGTTTTATTTTACAAATATTTTAGGTTACACGAAATAACAAAGAACAAGATGTCATATTAGATTCAACTGGGTCACTTGCTTCATCCTTGATCATTTCACCACAGTTTTTACAAATATCATTTCGTTTGAATGCAGAAACAAGTTTTGGTCCTGGAGAAATAGAGAAATCATTCCCACAACCTCTGAATACCTGGACACGATTTGGACTTTGGGCACATGATGGCATACCAAAAGAAAACGTCAACCTTTATGGTGTACACAATTTCTTCATGGGTCTGAAACATGATGGAACTGCATTCGGGATCTTCTTCCTCAACAGCAATGCACAAGAAGTAGCCACAACACCTCTACCAGCTATCACATATCGAACAATCGGTGGCATATTAGACTTCTTCATCTTCACTGGACCAAAACCATTAGATGTCGTGAATCAATATTACACTCTCATCGGACATCCACCGATACCACCATACTGGTCACTAGGATTTCATCTCTGTAGATATGGTATGAAGAATTTGGATGAAGTGAAGGCAGTACTGAAACGGAATTTGGATGCAGGGATTCCCGTAGACGCACAATGGTTTGATATCGACTACATGGATGCATACAAGATTTGGTCAGTGGACAATAAGAGGTTCGGTGGGATGAGTGATTTCGTGAAGGATGTCCTACACGACAAGTACAAAATGAGAGCTGTGTTAATTGTAGATCCAGCTGTCAGCACGAAGGGTGGTAAAGACTATTTACCATACAAGGAGGGCATGAGACTAGGCGTTTTCATCAATGACAGTCGGACTGGTACTCCGATTCTGGGTACTGTGTGGCCAGGAGAGACCGTCTTCCCAGATTTCACTCACCCAGCCACTGAGGATTGGTGGTACAAGTCTGCGTCAGACTTCCACAAGCTGGTCAACTTCGATGGTTTGTGGCTAGATATGAATGAGCCTGCGAGTTTCAATGGTGGATCACTCACTGGTTGTCCTTCATGGAATAAACTAGACAATCCTCCATATGTTCCTCGAGTCCTTCAGAACTCGTTGTATGACAAAACAATATGTCCATCAGCCTTGCATCACAACACGACACATTATAATCTGCATAATATGTATGGTTATGAGGAAGCTCGAGTGACTCACAGGGTGTTGACTCGATTATTTCCAGAGAAGCGACCTTTCATACTGACTCGTTCAAGTTTCGCCGGCTCAGGTCGTTACACAACTCACTGGACAGGTGATGTGTTGTCGACGTGGGATAGTCTGAAGATGTCCGTTTCGCAGATAATCAACTTCAATATGTTTGGAATTCCAATGGTTGGTGCTGATATATGTGGATTTGCAGGAAATACTACTGAGGAGTTGTGTGTTCGATGGAGTCAGTTGGGTGCTTTCTATCCATTTTCTAGAAATCACAATGAAAATAAAGCGAAGCATCAGGACCCTGCTAACTGGAGTGAAGAAGCTACTAAGGCTATCAAAGAAGCTATCAAACTGAGATATCACCTACTACCATACATATATTCGCTATTCTATCGATCTTACTTCCATGGGACGACTGTGGCTCGTGCTCTAGCCTTCGAGTTCCCTGAAGATTTGGCCACACACAAGGTCAATGCACAATTCATGCTTGGATCGTGCATCCTCGTCACTCCAGTGTTGGATGAAGGACGAACAGGTGTGGAGGGTTATGTTCCAATGGGTGAATGGATCAACCTGTCCACTGGAAAACGGTATGTCAGTCGAGGTGATTGGGTGTATTTCGAGGCACCGTTGAATGTTATTCCAATTTCCATCCGATGTGGTTGTATCATTCCTATGCAGGTATCTACTGAAGTAACGGACATTGCACGGAAGAAGGGATTTGCTTTGTTAGTACTTTTGTCTTCAACGGATGATGGTAGTGATACTGCTGGGAAGGGAATCACAGCATCGGGTGAGTTGTATTGGGATAATGGAGATGATGCCAAATTGAATTATTTGCATGTGAGTTTTGAAGTTCGGAACCGTGTTCTATCAGCGATTTCGACACCTTCCAGTCATGAAAGTTTACAGAAAATCGATTGGAAAGAACTCGATCTGAAAGTCATATTAATAGTTGGTTTAAGTAAAAATCCAAAGCAAATCTTATTTAACGGTCAATCAGCAAAGTTCACCTGTTATGAAATCTACCAAACTTGCCAGGTATATAGTGAACCTAATTGGTCATTAATCCAGAACTTCAGCATTGAATGGGCATTTTGATTGCTAGTCTTTTTCTTTCTTATCGTTGTGTACTATACAAGTAAGTTTTTGAAAATTCCATCAGCAGTTCATTTTTACTGCTCTATAAATTATCCCGATTTGTGAATACTGCCCTTTTCACTATTTGATTATTTGTAACACTTATAATAGTCTTTATACACACTCTTTTACTACCCAGTGTTTTCCTATTGAATTTAAACTTCAAATACATGTACACATTCAAACAAAGAAACATCTGTTTTTTAAATAATGGCATATTTTTTCGTATATATATTTAATCAGTTCACATGGTCTTATGCCAACTTAGGATTCTTTCTGTCGAGAAAGTTTTTTTTGATTATGATAGTCAGATTGTATCACGTTACTAACTCAATATTAATTGTATTTGTATTGATCATCTGCTTGTCAAATATCTTTCAGTTATTGTATGTATGAGTTATTTATTAAATAGATTCTTGAAAAAATCAATAAAAATATTACAGATAAGTTTTAGTTCATGTAGATAGATTATTATTTTCAATGCATCTCCTCCCTATGTCTCTCTCAACCTGCGAAATCCTTTTCGTAAAGATTTTGCTGCTAATTTGATAATTACTAGTAGTGTTTGGTTTCATACTAAACTGTGAAACTAAGAGTATAAAATACACAGTTATAACTCAATCTGATATTGACGATACAGACAAGAAACATAGTTATCCAGTGTTATATAGAAAGGGAACTATACTAGCTTGAATGTGAAGGCCATAGAAGGAAGAGTGACTGAACAAACTTTTGCTAAATACTCAGATTATGCTGAAAATGTTTGATGCTAAAAGTCTTTCAGCTATGCTCAACAATCACAGGTGCAGTAAGCTTGAAAATTCAGTTGGTGAAAGCAGTATGCTCTATATATTCACACTAGATGTATCGATATAGAGCTGATGAAAGACCTTCAGATTCCTTTGCCTAACCACATTGGACAATGATAATGAAAGCGAGGTTCGACTAGCTGAATCTTTCTGCCTATATAAGTGCTCCCACTGGAGTTATCATATTTTATTAACCCATGAACACAAGGTTTTAGCGATATGGCAATTTCCGAAGTTAGTCTTTACAGGTTTTAGGAAGAGAAAGTCAATGACAATTCAGTGTGTCTTAGCTTTGTGAAACTTCTACTTTTTAATTTATATTGTATAAACAAGGGGAATAAAGGTTTATGGGAAATATACTTCTTTATTTATTGTTTATCATACTCTAATTTACTCTACTGCAATACTGAAAACAGGAGTAATGAAATTATCTTGTGTTAGGCAGATAAAGTTAGTCACGAATGGCAGAATGTCTACCAGCCCCGCACGTTGTCCGGGTTAGAAGTCCCGGTTGACGCACCCATAAACCATGCCTAAGCAATAGTAAGCACGGAAGAGAGTGAAGGCGGGGCGTGACACCAGCAACAACCGTTACTGGCACTTCAAAACTGGAAGCCTTATGTTCCAGTCATAGTGTAAGGTAATGAAAACAAAGGTAGGATTGATAAGACAATTATAATGAGGTTGTGAAACTTTATCGGTTGTAGGTGTGTCTGGACATCTTACGTAGTCTTGAGCGCTACTGCCTAACTCGAAAAGCAAAGTCTGCTGAGATTTGGTTAGGCTAGAGGAATATAAATGAGTATCAAATGGATAATGACAACAATTCATGTAGTCTGTAACTGTCAATTAGTAAGTCTGAGGTTCACGAGAGGCTAAGAATCAATGGTTGATGAGAAAGTGTAAACATTGTTTACAGCAACTCCGATGTATTTACATCTAATCGTCTCAGTCACCGTCCCCGCTTATCTGATATGTAGTATCACTGTATGTCTTTACTCATCTTTTATGTTTGCTTTTACGAAGCAGAACACCCCTAACCAGTGCACTTCCAAGATTTTATCCATTCCTGAAGGAACACAGGACTTCAAGCTTGAGCTCGAAGTTTTAGTAGCTGTGGTGCTGTAGGCTATACAGGACGGGGTGGAGAGTCTCACAACCAGACTTATTTCCAAACAGACAAGATTTATGCGTACATCGATTGAGGATCGAACCGCAGGCCATGTGGGTGCGTGGTTAGACATAAACAAAAGCCAGCTCATCCAGGAACTAAACCTGGGCTTTTTCATGTAACAGGCGAAGAAAGTCACCAGATTACTGCACAGATTCACTAATAAGTCGATCAATCCTACTGTATATGCAGAAATTAGCAATGAAATGCACGGTTAAAACAATTATTATAAAGAAGAAGAAAAAAAAGAGAATAGAACTTACCTTTGAAACTAACAAATCATTCAAATCAAAATGTCGACCAAATAATTTCGGTGTTTCACCATCCAATGGATCAATACGTACACAGACTTCCATACCAGTACGTGCTTCTTCTACTGGTTTATGATTTGATTCGATTGAAAATACCCGACCCAGGTTGATACATTCACGACTAGGCACACATATCGGTGTACCGATACGTACAACACCAGCTTCAACGTGAACACCTACAACAATAGGTGCACGTTTATTGAATATCATTTCAGGCAGTATACACATTTTACACGGGAATACAGCTAAATCACGATGTTTACGTTGATTTCCAGTTTTAAGATCTTCCATATACTTCTCCATCAAATCCAGCTGATAATTAAGCATATTTGATACAAGAATAATTCTGGTGGTATGAAACCAGGTAGGGTTCAGTCCATTGTTGACAAAGTTCATTTCACTAGACACAGTGGCAAAGTATTATGGCATAAGAAGCTGTTTTATTTTCGATTTTCATAACTATCCTAGTTTAAAAATATAGACGGGATACTACTGGAAATGCAGTTTATCGTGAAACCTCAGTGACACGGTGTATCTTCTCATAACTAGTGAAGAAAAGAGTAAACAGACATAACGATAAGTATGAATTATATGGTGCTTATACTTTGTAAAATAGGCAGAAAGCCTTACAGCCCAAAATGCGAATAGTAGGAATGAAGCAAGTGTGAATTTTCTCAGTTAGATGGTGAGATCTGAAGGACACTAGACAACCACCATCAAGTTGTTAGGGTGAAACATCAGTGAATTGCTTTCTAGGCTTGACATAATAGTTATTATTAATTTTATTGCATCAACTAGATACACAGAAAAAGCTCAGCTTATGTTCTGAATCACTTAGTTCAGCAAAATTCACTTATTGGTGAGAGTATCTAAGGTATTGTAAAATCGGCCATTGTAGGAGAGGAACTTAGGAATTAAAGTGGAATATAATACACAACACCAGATTGTAGAAGTAGAAGACGAGTGATTTCGTAAAGGACTGTTTGTTTAGTATCTCTATACAGCCAAATTATCTACACCTTATCTTCAACGCCGCACCATTTGTACAGATCCTCCGTTTTGCGCTACTTCTCCTCTTCCTTGATATTGTGTTTCTTTGTGTTCCTTTCACGTCTCCCATGTATCCCCATAACGCTGTATCATTTGCTTTCTCTGACATCAAATCTATCTCCCTGCTATTTGATGTTTATAAGCCGATGAGCATCTCTTTATATGTATACTACTGATAAATCTTATCAGTAGTATAGGCCACAATATCACATAAGTTTATTTGATATAACACAGTGGATACGGTTCGGAAATCAAATAAATAAGGAAAACATTACTGGCAAATAACCACCCACCAGACTTTATTCAAAAATGTATGAAGACCCATGAGAAAAAAACAACAGTACTCATGGAAACAATAAAAATAATACGATTAATAAGGAATTCAAAGCGTCGAAAGTAATGCCATACCAAGAAGGAACATTGAAGACCCTGAGTAAGACTTTTAATTTGGCTAGAATTAGATTGGTATTTAAACTAACCAACTTACTCAGAGAAGAATTTTGTCTGTTTATTGATCTGATAGATCCAACTGGGGAAAAATAGTATAATTTACCAAACACTATATAATGACTGTGAGGTCAGTTACACAGGTTGCACTAGTTGATCAAGGTTAACTAGGTTTTTGGGATATTAGATATATTTAGCTACATCTAAAATAATCGACCCTCACAAATGTGAAGTAATCCAGTTAAAAGCTTGACCATTGCAACTCGTTCACTCACATGCAATCACACAATTTGATGATATATGATAGAAGTATTAGAAAGCAATATAGGTAGGTGGGGAGAGAGTTTTATCACTGAATCGAAATGATGAAAGACCTATCCCGGATATGTAGACAACTGCAATAAAAAAACAGCAGGGCGTAAGGCTGTATAAAGCAGGTTATCAAGTTGTGTGAACATATTGATATGATTATGAGCAATAAATTGTGCTCGAAACGTCATCCAGTTATTAATACCATGAAACTATGTATTACATCGAATAAACTTATATGATTAGATAGTTGGAGGTAATCGGCAGGAAGCCTTAGACCTAGGTTTCGTGTTAGTTGGCCCTCACTAGTCAGCAAGGCGTATCTGCAACCTTGAAGGAACTCATGTCCCTTGTGAGATTCGAACCCGCGTCACCCAGTGCTGCAGGCTTCCTGCCGATTGCCTCCAACCATCTAATATCATCAAATCAATGTGCACCGTGATGGCGAGCTACCTAGAATGGTGGCCACATTGCAAACCTGACTGATAGAATTCAGTCTGCACCGAAGTAAGGACTAAACACGTCACACTAGTTACTAGTGTCTAATGAAAACGTATCTAATGTGGAATTAAATTAGCAAACTTGTTTTTACGTAATATAATAATGGTTGAGGTTTGAAACAAAACAACTAACTTGAATAGTGGCAGCATTTCACACAGAAATCTACTAGTTACTGGTCTGGCAACTTACACATGGAAACAGTTGACCTAGTTATCAAATTATTCCTATTTCTCACTTCATTTTCAATCATCACTCCAGTACACACAGCAGGTTGAAGATGAGGCAGTAACTCATCGAAGAAGACATTGAGAAATGGTCACGCTATGTCGTGAATTGGCATTGGATCGTGTTCCAGTGGCTGAA